GGTGCTCCGCTCTGCAAAGAGGACCGTGGGCTGTGAACTTCCTGTTCTGGAGGTTCTTTATAAATCCAGACTTTTAAACCAAGCTCTTAGGATTGTTAATGAATCTTCTGGCCACCCTGGGAAAGCCATGTTCCAGCTTCTTCCCTCTGGCAGAAGATATCGCTCTCTGAGATGCAGGACATCTCGTTACGCTAACAGTTTTTATCCACAGGCTGTTATCAGTGTGAACAGAGCACTTTAATGATTTGCACTTGTTTTGAAACTGTTTTAGTCGATCGATTTCACAGTGACTTTTGTTTACTGTTTTATTTGTTTTATTTTTGTCTTTTAATGTTGTTTTATGTCTGTATTTGTCTGTGCACACTGGAGACTTTTGCTAATGTATTCCAATGTGGTTTTACTGCAAATGGCAAATAATCTGAATCTGAATCTGAATTGAGTGTGTGTGTGTGTGTGTGTCTGTGAGTGTGTGTGTGTGTGTGTGTGTGTGTGTGTGTATGTATGTGTATGTGTGTGTGTGTCTGTGTGTGTGTGTGCGTGTGTTTGTGTGTGTCTGTGTGTGTGTGTGTCTGTGTTTTAGTGTCTGTGTGTGTGTGTGTGTGTGTGTGTGTGTGTGTGTGTGTGTGTGTGTGTGCGTGTGTGTGTGTGTGTCTGTGTGTGTGTGTGTGTGTGCACTTGTTTTCAACTCCTGGTGGGTTCCATAACCTGAGATTCCACTCACGTCATGGGGACTGGTTTTACGTGGTGGGGCCCGAACACCGGACCCCACTGGTCCAAGCTTAATAATCAATGGGTAATGCTTTTCTAACGGTCCTTATGCAGTCTCTGTAAAAATATGGAAAGGACCCCTGGAGGTTTACTTTCCTGAAAAAAGTGTGTTATGTGTCGGAACCCTGGTGGTGGGTTGCGGGATATCAAGGAGGGGCACACTGGGGCCATTTCAGTCCAGCAGGCTGGAGCCAATCATGGAGCAGCACAACAGAGGCTGGAGCCAATCATGGAGCAGCACAACAGAGGCTGGAGCCAATCATGGAGCAGCACAACAGAGGAAATCAGGTGTCAGGCTAGAAAAAGGTGCAAGTGTGTGGTTCATTAGGCTGCAGCCAATCACAGAGCAGCACACTGAAGCGCACGCTTACAAACCACTGGTAAGTGCTGACTACAAGTCATGACTTCAAATTGTTATATAGAATGATTACAAATTATTTGTTGTTTGTGCAGCTTAGTCAAGAGTCCCTAATTGATGAAGTCGACTCAGATTCTGACGATTTAACTGTCAAGAAGAAACCTGTAAAAAAGTATGGAAAAAGAAAAATCAAAAACACTTTTCTTCAAGACTCGGAAAGTGACGAACCAAAGGCAAATAAGATTGTTATCATGCAGCTGCAAAAGAAGAAAAATGGGGGGCGAGTTTACAGCAAGAGACACTTCTGCCTCTACTGTTCAATGTCCTGCCACAAAATGTCCCGTTATTTGACTAGAAAACATGGAAATGAAAGTGACGTAGCCAGAGCATTGGCTCTACCTGTGAAATCTAAAGCACGTAAACTTCAGTTTGATTTGATCAGGAATAGTGGAAACCGTGAGCACAATTTTGAGGTTTTAAAGGCCGGCATTGGAACTTTAGTCCCAGCTAAACAGCCAAATTCCCCAGTTAAATCCAGTGAGTTTTTGCACTGTATAGACTGTGGGGCATTGCTTAAGCGAAAGTCGCTGTGGAGGCATGTGGCCAGGTGCCGGCTTTCACAGAAAGATGCCCAGGCTAAACCAGGTAGAAGTAGGGTCCAGTCCCTCTGCTCCCTAGCCCAGCCTGTACCGGAGGGCATCAGCAAAAAGCTGTGCTCTTTAATTTCGGCAATGCATCAGGATGAGGTCACGGGTGTTGTCAAAGCAGAAAAGGGGATTCTGAGACTCGGAGAGCACCTGTACTTAAAACACGGGCATGATAAGACTAAGCATGATTACATTAGGCAGAAATGAGAGAAGTCGGTAGGTTAATTAACGAAGCAAAAACCGCAGGGAAACTGAAAAAAATTAAGGATTTCTTTATTCCTTCCAACTTTAACCATGTGATTGATGCAGTCAGGTCTGTGGCTGGATATGATGAGGAAACAAATCAATACAAGACTCCATCCTTGGCCCTCAAACTCGGCCATAGCCTCAGAAAGCTAGCAGATATTCTTGAATGTGGACTCAAAAATGGAGCATTGTGTTGATGAACTATTTATTAAAAACCTCCAACGAAGCCGGCTGCTTTTTGAGAAGAGGTGGGACGTCTGTGTTTCTTCTGCTGCCCTACAGACCCTCCGGCAAGCCAAGTGGAACACTCCGGACCTGCTCCCTCTGACTGAGGACGTTAGAGCCATGCATGCACATATTGAGGTATGTCGACCTGAATATGTGCAAACCCTAATAAGTGAGCCAACGTCTAAGCATTGGTCTAAACTGGCAGTTTTGACTCTTTGTGAGGTCATTATTTTCAATCGAAGAAGGGAAGGTGAGGTTTCAAAGATGCCACTGACAGCCTTTACCTTAAGAAGTAAGACTGGGATCCATTCTGACATTGCTCTGGGACTGTCCCAACTTGAGAAAAAGCTGTGTCAGCATTTTCAACGCATTGAAATTAAAGGGAAAAGAAGTCGGAAAGTGCCGGTTCTTTTGACTCCTGAAATGATTGCTTCGATGGAGGTGCTGGTGGAGAACAGAAGGGCCTGTTCCATCTCTGACCATAACCCATACTTCTTTTCCCGCCCGGGCGCAGACACCCACATCAGGGGATCAGACTCCCTACGCCAGGTAGCCAAAGAATGTGGTGCGGTGCATCCAGAGATGCTATCCTCAACCAAACTTAGAAAGCACATAGCTACTATGTCTACAGTTCTCAATATGAAAGAGAATGAGATGGACATACTTGCCAACTTCCTCGGCCATGACATTCGCATCCACAGGCAATATTACAGACTACCAGAGGGGGCGCTGGAGCTGGCCAAAATCAGCAAAGTGTTGATGGCCATGGAGCAGGGAAGAGTGACGGAATTCAAAGGAAAGAGCCTCGACCAGATACAAATTGAGCCTGAAGGTAATTCTTGATATTATTAAAATATGTATGATTTTTTTTCCCCTAAAGGCCACTTGTATTTTTATTTTCTGTGCGACAGGGAGAGCAGTAGAGATCCTCTCACAAACGGACGGGCTAAAAGAAACTTCAAGCGGAGAACCTTCAACCATTCATCCAGATGCACCCCATGGTAGTGGCAGTGCCCCTTCTGGTAAGTGTACCAGGTGGGGGATTACAGCCAGGCTGCTTGGTCCTCACCCTGGGAGTGTATATTGCTAATATATTTTTATTTCTCTCCCTAGAACGTTAGAGAAAGCCATGGTCTGCATCTGAGGTGAAGGCTGTGGAGAAGACCATGACACCTTTCATACAGACTGGAAAGGTCCCTGGGAAGTCTCACTGCCTGGCCTGCATTAATGCCTCACCAGATGACCTTAGACATCGGACATGGAGTGGCATTAAATTCTATGTCAAAAATAGAATCACTGCAATTCGAAAACAAAATCTAAAATAAAATTCCTTTAAAATAGTTGTTTGGTTTCTATTGACTGTTTTGTATTACTTAAAGTAGTCCCAGTAAAAAAAGATTATGTCTATGGGTCCCATTCTGAACGGCCCTGTCAAAGGGACCCACCAGGTAACAAAAACGTGTATGTGTGTGTGTGTGTGTGTGTGTGTGTGTGTGTGTGTGTGTGTGTGTGTGTGTGTGTGTGTGTGTGTGTGTGTGTGTGTGTGTGTGTGTGTGTGTGTGTGTGTGTGTGTGTGTGTGTGTGTGTGTGTGTGTGTGTGTGTGTGTGTGTGTGTGTGTGTGTGTGTGTGTGTGTGTGTGTGTGTGTGTGTGTGTGTGTGTGTGTGAGTGTGTGTGTGTGTCTGTATGAGCGTGTGTGTGTGTCTCTGTGTGAGCGTGTGTGTGTGTCTGTGTGAGTGTGTGTGTGTCTGTGTCTGTGTGAGTGTGTCTGTGTGAGTGTGTGTGTGTGTCTGTGTGAGCGTGTGTGTGTGTGTCTGTGTGAGTGTGTGTGTGTGTCTGTGTGAGTGTGTGTGTGTGTCTGTGTGAGTGTGTGTGTGTGAGTGTGTGTGTGTTTGTGCGTGTGTGCGTGTGTGCATGTGTGTGTTTGTACGTGTGCGTGTGTGTGTGTGTGTGTGTATTCTTGATTGTGAGTGCGTGTGTGTGTTTGTGTGAGTGCGTGTGTGTGTGTGTGTATTCTTGATTGTGAGTGCGTGTGTGTGTGTGTGTGTGTGTTTGTGTGAGTGCGTGTGTGTGTGTGTGTGTGTGTATTCTTGATTGTGAGTGCGTGTGTGTGTGTTTGTGTGAATGTGTGTGTGTGTGTATTCTTGATTGTGAGTGCGTGTGTGTGTGTATTCTTGATTGTGAGTGTGTGTTGTCCGTATGGCTGTCATTGTTGGGCTAATGTGTTTCATGTTAGATCACTGTGAAGATGTGTGTTAGGACTAGGCCGATTTTATTCTTTCTGTTTAATGTGTTGCACTGTACGAAAAGGAGAGAGCATTAGCATTAGCATTAGCATTAGCATTAGCTGCATCTTTCATAATGTAACTATGTATGACTACATTGTCCCTGTCAAATCAATAAATAAAAATAAATAAAACGTCCGTTACACATGTATCAAGTCATTTAATTTTGTATTAATTATTAATATTTTTAAACTATTTTTTAAAATCAAGTGATTAACTGATGTTGTGTTAACGATGCTCATCTGTTCCAGACTGAGGACAGTTTATTTTCCATGTAACGGTCCAATCAGAGGCTGATTTGGTCGTTTAAAATGTCGGCAAAAATATATTTGTCAATCTTTCCTTTTGATTTTATCCACACTATCTCTTCAATGTGCCTGTGTTTGAAATCTTTCTTCCAATCTATGAAAGTAATTTTAGTTTTAGAGTTATAACCTTTTAAAGTCCAGATTCTTTAATTGACACTGACCTGAGACCGTGCCGTCCTGCCGCGGCTGCCCCCAGGCCAGGATGATGAAGGAGTGGCAGCCCTCCAGAGCGACCACCGTGAGGTTCTGAGGCTTGTGCTTCGGCGCCGAGTGCAGCTGGGTGTCCTCTAACAGGTTCTCCAGGACGTCCAGCTGCAGGAACTCAAGGGCCTCTGTCAGGGAGCAGGGGGCCCCGGGGTCTTTCTGGATGTAGTCCACGTAGGGAGCTGAAACACACAGCAGACTGAAGACCAGGAGAGACCAGGGACCAGAGGAAGACCAGAGACCAGAGAGAGACCAGAGAGGGAGACCAGAGACCAGAGAGAGACCAGAGAGGGAGACCAGAGACCAGAGAGAGACCAGAGAGAGACCAGAGAGAGACCAGAGAGAGACCAGAGAGAGAGACCAGAGAGAGACCAGAGAGAGACCAGAGAGAGACCAGAGAGAGACCAGAGAGAGACCAGAGAGAGACCAGAGGGAGACCAGAGAGAGACCAGAGAGAGACCAGAGGGAGACCAGAGAGAGACCAGAGAGAGACCAGAGAGAGACCAGAGAGAGACCAGAGAGAGACCAGAGAGAGACCAGAGAGAGACCAGAGACCAGAGAGAGACCAGAGAGAGACCAGAGAGAGACCAGAGAGCAGAGAGAGACCAGAGAGAGCAACAGTAGCAGTAGCAGCAGCAGTAGCAGTAGTAGTAGCAGTAGCAGCAGTAGCAGTAGCAGTAGCAGCAGCAGTAGCAGCAGTAGCAGTAGCAGTAGCAGCAGTAGCAGTAGCAGCAGCAGTAGCAGTAGTAGCAGTAGCAGCAGTAGCAGCAGCAGCAGCAGTAGCAGTAGTAGCAGTAGCAGCAGTAGCAGCAGCAGCAGCAGTAGCAGTAGCAGTAGTAGCAGTAGCAGTAGCAGCAGTAGCAGTAGCAGCAGTAGTAGTAGCAGCAGTAGCAGTAGCAGTAGCAGCAGCAGCAGCAGTAGCAGTAGCAGTAGCAGCAGCAGCAGCAGTAGCAGTAGCAGCAGTAGCAGTAGCAGCAGTAGCAGTAGCAGCAGCAGTAGCAGTAGTAGCAGTAGCAGCAGTAGCAGCAGCAGCAGCAGTAGCAGTAGTAGCAGTAGCAGCAGCAGCAGCAGCAGCAGTAGTAGCAGTAGCAGCAGTAGCAGCAGCAGCAGCAGCAGCAGCAGCAGTAGCAGCAGTAGCAGTAGCAGCAGCAGTAGCAGTAGCAGCAGCAGTAGCAGTAGTAGCAGTAGCAGCAGTAGCAGCAGCAGCAGCAGTAGCAGTAGCAGCAGCAGTAGCAGTAGCAGTTGCAGTAGCAGCAGTAGCAGCAGCAGTAGCAGTAGCAGTAGCAGCAGTAGCAGTAGTAGCAGCAGCAGCAGTAGTAGCAGTAGCAGTAGCAGTAGCAGCAGTAGCAGTAGCAGTAGCAGTAGCAGCAGTAGCAGCAGCAGCAGCAGTAGCAGCAGCAGTAGCAGCAGTAGCAGCAGTAGCAGTAGCAGCAGTAGCAGTAGCAGCAGCAGTAGCAGTAGCAGCAGTAGCAGTAGCAGCAGTAGCAGTAGCAGCAGCAGTAGTAGTAGCAGCAGCAGCAGTAGCAGTAGTAGCAGTAGCAGCAGTAGCAGTAGCAGCAGCAGTAGTAGTAGTAGCAGCAGCAGCAGTAGTAGCAGTAGCAGTAGCAGCAGTAGCAGCAGTAGCAGTAGCAGCAGCAGTAGCAGTAGCAGTAGTAGCAGTAGCAGCAGTAGCAGTAGCAGCAGCAGCAGCAGTAGCAGTAGCAGCAGTAGCAGTAGCAGCAGTAGCAGTAGCAGCAGCAGTAGTAGTAGCAGCAGCAGCAGTAGCAGTAGTAGCAGCAGCAGCAGTAGTAGTAGTAGCAGCAGCAGCAGTAGTAGCAGTAGCAGTAGCAGCAGTAGCAGCAGTAGCAGTAGCAGCAGCAGTAGCAGTAGCAGTAGTAGCAGTAGCAGTAGCAGTAGTAGCAGTAGCAGCAGTAGCAGCAGCAGCAGCAGTAGCAGTAGTAGCAGTAGCAGCAGTAGCAGTAGCAGCAGCAGCAGCAGTAGCAGTAGCAGTAGTAGCAGCAGCAGCAGTAGTAGCAGTAGCAGTAGCAGCAGCAGCAGCAGCAGCAGTAGCAGTAGCAGTAGTAGCAGTAGCAGCAGTAGCAGCAGTAGCAGTAGCAGCAGCAGTAGCAGTAGCAGCAGTAGCAGCAGCAGCAGTAGCAGTAGCAGCAGTAGCAGCAGTAGCAGTAGCAGCAGCAGTAGCAGTAGCAGCAGTAGCAGTAGCAGTAGCAGTAGTAGCAGTAGCAGCAGTAGCAGTAGCAGCAGCAGCAGTAGCAGTAGCATATGAAACATATACTGTAGATATATAGACAGTCTTTCTAACTCTCCTTTAGTTCTGTTTCTGTTTGAAGCTGGAGCCACAGCACCAGAGTCTGGAGGAGCCTGCTTTGGCCTGAATCCAGGACCCACGGGTCTACGGGACCCACGGGTCTACGGGACCCACGGGACCCACGGGTTCTTTTCTGGACTCTCAAAGTCTCTTCACATCGTTATTCTCTCTCTCCAAACACACTGGTGATAAACTACTACTGTAGCCACAGCTGCCCTGGGGCACACTGACAGAAGCCCCTCCCACCACCACCAACCACTCACACACACACCAGACTCATTCTAATGTGGGGGAAGTGTCTTGCCTAAGGACACAACCACAGTTTGGCACTTTACAGCCGCAGCCGCCCCACTGTGGCACCTGCTGTTCAGAGGTCTCCCTTCACAGTACTAACCAGGCACTGTCCTGCTTAGCTTTAGAGGTCTGACATAATTTGGCTTTCGCCTGAAAGACTGAGCAGACATCTATAACTACATTTTCATTTTAATGTGAAGCTCTTTGTGATCCTGGTCTGTGAGGTGCTATACTAACACACTTTACTTACTTACATACACTAAAGTGCTAAAGTAGAACACACGCTAACACTAAAGTGCTAAAGTAGAACACATGCTAACACTAAAGTGCTAAAGTAGAACACACGCTAACACTAAAGTGCTAAAGCAGAACACTTGCTAACACTAAAGTGCTAAAGTAGAACACACGCTAACACTAAAGTGCTAAAGTAGAACACACGCTAACACTAAAGTGCTAAAGCAGAACACTTGCTAACACTAAAGTGCTAAAGTAGAACACACGCTAACACTAAAGTGCTAAAGTAGAAGACACGCTAACACTAAAGTGCTAAAGTAGAACACATGCTAACACTAAAGTGCTAAAGTAGAACACACGCTAACACTAAAGTGCTAAAGTAGAACACACGCTAACACTAAAGTGCTAAAGTAGAAGACACGCTAACACTAAAGTGCTAAAGTAGAACACACGCTAACACTAAAGTGCTAAAGTAGAAGACACGCTAACACTAAAGTGCTAAAGTAGAACACATGCTAACACTAAAGTGCTAAAGTAGAACACACGCTAACACTAAAGTGCTAAAGTAGAAGACACGCTAACACTAAAGTGCTAAAGTAGAACACATGCTAACACTAAAGTGCTAAAGTAGAAGACACGCTAACACTAAAGTGCTAAAGTAGAAGACACGCTAACACTAAAGTGCTAAAGTAGAAGACACACTAACACTAAAGTGCTAAAGTAGAACACATGCTAACACTAAAGTGCTAAAGTAGAACACTTGCTAACACTAAAGTGCTAAAGTAGAACACATGCTAACACTAAAGTGCTAAAGTAGAACACATGCTAACACTAAAGTGCTAAAGTAGAACACACGCTAACACTAAAGTGCTAAAGCAGAACACTTGCTAACACTAAAGTGCTAAAGTAGAACACATGCTAACACTAAAGTGCTAAAGTAGAACACATGCTAACACTAAAGTGCTAAAGTAGAACACATGCCAACACTAAAGTGCTAAAGCAGAACACACGCTAACACTAAAGTGCTAAAGTAGAAGACACGCTAACACTAAAGTGCTAAAGCAGAAGACACGCTAACACTAAAGTGCTAAAGTAGAAGACACGCTAACACTAAAGTGCTAAAGCAGAACACATGCTAACACTAAAGTGCTAAAGTAGAAGACACGCTAACACTAAAGTGCTAAAGTAGAACACACGCTAACACTAAAGTGCTAAAGCAGAAGACACGCTAACACTAAAGTGCTAAAGTACAAGACACGCTAACACTAAAGTGCTAAAGCAGAACACACGCTAACACTAAAGTGCTAAAGTAGAAGACACGCTAACACTAAAGTGCTAAAGTAGAAGACACGCTAACACTAAAGTGCTAAAGTAGAAGACACGCTAACACTAAAGTGCTAAAGTAGAAGACACGCTAACACTAAAGTGCTAAAGTAGAAGACACGCTAACACTAAAGTGCTAAAGCAGAAGACACGCTAACACTAAAGTGCTAAAGCAGAAGACACGCTAACACTAAAGTGCTAAAGTAGAAGACACGCTAACACTAAAGTGCTAAAGCAGAAGACACGCTAACACTAAAGTGCTAAAGCAGAACACACGCTAACACTAAAGTGCTAAAGCAGAACACACGCTAACACTAAAGTGCTAAAGTAGAAGACACGCTAACACTAAAGTGCTAAAGCAGATCACACACCAACACTAAAGTGCTAAAGCAGAACACACGCTAACACTAAATTGCTAAAGTAGAAGACACGCTAACACTAAAGTGCTAAAGTAGAAGACACGCTAACACTAAAGTGCTAAAGTAGAACACATGCTAACACTAAAGTGCTAAAGTAGAAGACACGCTAACACTAAAGTGCTAAAGTAGAACACATGCTAACACTAAAGTGCTAAAGTAGAACACATGCTAACACTAAAGTAGAACACATGCTAACACTAAAGTGCTAAAGTAGAACACATGCTAACACTAAAGTGCTAAAGTAGAACACATGCTAACACTAAAGTGCTAAAGCAGAACACACGCTAACACTAAAGTGCTAAAGTAGAACACACGCTAACACTAAAGTGCTAAAGTAGAACACATGCTAACACTAAAGTGCTAAAGCAGATCACACGCTAACACTAAAGTGCTAAAGTAGAACACACGCTAACACTAAAGTGCTAAAGCAAAACACTTGCTAACACTAAAGTGCTAAAGTAGAACACATGCTAACACTAAAGTGCTAAAGTAGAACACATGCTAACACTAAAGTGCTAAAGTAGAACCCATGCTAACACTAAAGTGCTAAAGTAGAACACATGCTAACACTAAAGTAGAACACATGCTAACACTAAAGTGCTAAAGTAGAACACATGCTAACACTAAAGTGCTAAAGTAGAACACATGCTAACACTAAAGTGCTAAAGTAGAACACATGCTAACACTAAAGTGCTAAAGTAGAACACATGCTAACACTAAAGTAGAACACATGCTAACACTAAAGTGCTAAAGTAGAACACATGCTAACACTAAAGTGCTAAAGTAGAACACATGCTAACACTAAAGTGCTAAAGTAGAACACATGATAACACTAAAGTGCTAAAGTAGAACACATGCTAACACTAAAGTGCTAAAGTAGAACACATGCTAACACTAAAGTGCTAAAGTAGAACACATGCTAACACTAAAGTGCTAAAGCAGAACACATGCTAACACTAAAGTGCTAAAGTAGAACACATGCTAACACTAAAGTGCTAAAGTAGAACACATGTTAACACTAAAGTGCTAAAGTAGAACACATGCTAACACTAAAGTGCTAAAGTAGAACACATGCTAACACTAAAGTGCTAAAGTAGAACACATGTTAACACTAAAGTGCTAAAGTAGAACCCATGCTAACACTAAAGTGCTAAAGTAGAACACATGCTAACACTAAAGTGCTAAAGTAGAACACATGCTAACACTAAAGTGCTAAAGTAGAACACATGCTAACACTAAAGTGCTAAAGTAGAACACATGCTAACACTAAAGTGCTAAAGTAGAACACATGCTAACACTAAAGTGCTAAAGTAGAACACACGCTAACACTAAAGTGCTAAAGCAGAACACACGCTAACACTAAAGTGCTAAAGCAGAACACATGCTAACACAAAAGTGCTAAAGCAGATCACACGCTAACACTAAAGTGCTAAAGTAGAACACACGCTAACACTAAAGTGCTAAAGCAGAACACTTGCTAACACTAAAGTGCTAAAGTAGAACACATGCTAACACTAAAGTGCTAAAGTAGAACACATGCTAACACTAAAGTGCTAAAGTAGAACACATGCTAACACTAAAGTGCTAAAGCAGAACACACGCTAACACTAAAGTGCTAAAGCAGAACACACGCTAACACTAAAGTGCTAAAGTAGAACACATGCTAACACTAAAGTGCTAAAGTAGAACACATGCTAACACTAAAGTGCTAAAGTAGAACACATGCTAACACTAAAGTGCTAAAGTAGAACACATGCTAACACTAAAGTGCTAAAGTAGAACACATGCTAACACTAAAGTGCTAAAGTAGAACACATGCTAACACTAAAGTGCTAAAGTAGAACACATGCTAACACTAAAGTACTAAAGTAGAACACATGCTAACACTAAAGTGCTAAAGTAGAACACATGCTAACACTAAAGTGCTAAAGTAGAACACTTGCTAACACTAAAGTGCTAAAGTAGAACACATGCTAACACTAAAGTGCTAAAGTAGAACACATGCTAACACTAAAGTTCTAAAGTAGAACACATGCTAACACTAAAGTGCTAAAGTAGAACACATGCTAACACTAAAGTACTAAAGTAGAACACATGCTAACACTAAAGTGCTAAAGTAGAACACATGCTAACACTAAAGTGCTAAAGTAGAACACTTGCTAACACTAAAGTGCTAAAGTAGAACACATGCTAACACTAAAGTGCTAAAGTAGAACACATGCTAACACTAAAGTGCTAAAGTAGAACACATGCTAACACTAAAGTGCTAAAGTAGAACACATGCTAACACTAAAGTGCTAAAGTAGAACACATGCTAACACTAAAGTGCTAAAGCAGACCAAGAGCCACTTTTGGACTGTCCTGTAAAGATGTTTCTAGAGGAAAGAAGGTGTCGTCAGATTCAGTGGATAATTCTGTTTCCTGTACACCCCCACAGTCAGGTCAGTGACATGGACCCTTTGAGCCGCGACACATTCACACTGGTTTCACATGATCTGTAAGCCACGCCCCTTCCTCTGTAAACCATGACCTTTCCTCTGTCAGCCACGCCCCTTAAGCCTAGTGTATACTTGCGCGGCGCTGCTTACGTTAGCGGTTGCGGTGGACCGCCGCAAGCACAATTTCATTTATACTCCTTGCGGAGTTTTGAGGAGAATGTTGTAATCCCACAACCAACCACACGATGGCGATCTCACAGGAGGTGCCTCAGAAACCAAAGCGGTCTCATTTACGCTGCTTCTTTCTCCTCTTCAGAACAAAAACAGAGCTGTTTGAGATCATTACATGTGTTTCTACTGTAGGTTTATGTGATAGTTCTATGGACTCATTATTTCTGAACTCATTTAACTGTGATGCTGTGAATAAAGACACAGTTCTGTGGAAACATAGTTATTATTAAATAGTTTTCATCACAAACAGCAAAACATGAACAATTTACAAGTGCAGGAGGAAAGCAACAAACGCGATAATCTACGATTCAAACAAGACAGGAACAGTTTATATGTTATATATAAGTTATATATAAGTTATATATATGTTATATATATGTTATATATAAGTTATATATAAGTTATATATATGTTAGATATGTGTTATATAAAAGTTATATATATGTTATATATAAGTTAAATATATGTTAGATATAAGTTATATATATGTTATATATATGTTAGATATATGTTATATATATGTTAGATATATAACTTATATATATGTTAGATATATCTAACATATATATAACTTATAAGTAACATATATGTTAGATATGTTATATATATGTTAGATATAAGTTATATATATGTTATATATAAGTTATATATATGTTAGATATATGTTAGATATAGGTTAAATATATGTTATATATATGTTAGATATAAGTTATATATATGTTAGATATAAGTTATATATATGTTAGATAGTCCACAGTCTCCTGTATATCAGGCTCTTTTCCTTGGAAGCACAAAGCTCTCTGCTCCATAGAGCCTCGTCCATGCTCCTGCTGCAGCCGCTCCGTGCTTCCTTCCAATACACACACACGGACCAATCACAGCGGAGCTTCTCTCACACACTGACCAATCACAGCGGAGCTTCTCTCACACACGGACCAATCACAGCGGAGCTTCTCTCACACACGGACCAATCACAGCGGAACTTCTCTCACACACGGACCAATCACAGCGGAGCTTCTCTCACACACGGACCAATCACAGCGGAGCTTCTCTCACACACGGACCAATCACAGCGGAGCTTCTCTCACACACGGACCAATCACAGCGGAGCTTCCTTGTGGCGACCCTTACGTAGTTAGAACATGTCGATGCTGCGCGGCAGGCGACGTAAGGGCCTTGGGGCGACCAACGCGTTGTGCAGGTGACGTCACCTCCGTAAGCTCCGCGCGAGTATACACTAGGCTTTATTCTGTAAGCCACGCCCAGAGATTTAGCCACGCCCCTTCCCTGTAAACCCCGGCCCTCACTGTTAAAGCAGGTACCTGTGAAGCGCTTCTTTCCGCTGAGGTCGAACTGGTTGTGGGGCCCCCTGTGTGAGGGTCTGGGGGCCACAGTGCTGGGGGCCACAGTGCTCGGGGCCGCAGTGCTGGGGGCCACAGTGCTGGGGGCCACAGTGCTCGGGGCCACAGTGCTGGGGGCCACAGTGCTGGGGGAGGGGGGGAGGGTGGTCTGAGGGAGCAGCTCGTCTGGGAAACAAAATGTGAACGTAAACATTTTTAATTTTCAACATGAGGAAGCTCCTTAAGCTCCTCATGTAACTCTGACCTCTGACCCTGATCACTGACCTCTGACCTCTGACCCTTACCCCTGACCATGACCTCTGACCCTAACCTCTGACTAATGAATGGTGTAGCGCATCAAAAGACACGAGCGTCCTGCGCACAGCAGTCTGACACAGGCGCTCCTCCGCAGGAATCAAGCTCCTGTAGTTGGTCCAGGCGGGCGAGGTCCAGGCGGGCGAGGTCCAGGCGGGCGAGGTCCAGGCGAGGTCCAGGCGAACGAGGTCCAGGCGGGCGAGGTCCAGGCGGGCAAGGTCCAGGCGGGCGAGGTCCAGGCGGGCGAGGTCCAGGCGGGCGAGGTCCAGGCGGGCGAGGTCCAGGCGGGCGAGGTCCAGGCGTGAGCTCAGTTCCAAACGCAGGACACTGTTTCTCTTTCAAGACCAAATGCAATTAGAGCCAGAGGTCTCGCTGCAGGACGTGTGACATCACCATGTACAGAGAGAGACCAGAGAGAGAGACCAGAGAGAGAGACCAGAGAGAGAGACCAGAGAGAGACCAGAGAGAGAGACCAGAGAGAGACCAGAGAGAGAGACCAGAGAGAGACCAGAGAGAGAGACCAGAGAGAGACCAGAGAGAGACCAGACCAGAGAGAGAGACCAGAGAGAGACCAGAGAGAGAGACCAGAGAGAGAGACCAGAGAGAGAGACCAGAGAGAGACCAGAGAGAGACCAGAGAGAGACCAGAGAGAGACCAGAGAGAGACCAGAGAGAGACCAGAGAGAGACCAGAGAGAGACCAGAGAGAGACCAGAGAGAGACCAGAGAGAGACCAGAGAGAGAGACCAGAGAGAGACCAGAGAGAGACCAGAGAGAGAGACCAGAGAGAGACCAGAGAGAGAGACCAGAGAGAGAGACCAGAGAGAGACCAGAGAGAGACCAGAGAGAGACCAGAGAGAGACCAGAGAGAGACCAGAGAGAGAGACCAGAGAGAGACCAGAGAGAGACCAGAGAGAGACCAGAGAGAGACCAGAGAGAGAGACCAGAGAGAGAGACCAGAGAGAGACCAGAGAGAGACCAGAGAGAGACCAGAGAGAGAGACCAGAGAGAGACCAGAGAGAGACCAGAGAGAGACCAGAGAGAGAGACCAGAGAGAGACCAGAGAGAGACCAGAGAGAGACCAGAGAGAGAGACCAGAGAGAGACCAGAGAGAGAGACCAGAGAGAGACCAGAGAGAGACCAGAGAGAGAGACCAGAGAGACACCAGAGAGTTTCTCTGAGCACAGACGTAATAAAGTAACTTTATAAATACCTCGTTCAAAGTCTTCTGTTCCTGAAGATTCGTCTGAGAAACAACAACACAGTATTTAAGAGCTAACCTAGAGCTAACCTAGAGCTGACCTAGAGCTCACCTAAAGCTAGCCTAGAGCTGACCTAGAGCTAGGCAAGGCAAGGCAAGGCAAGTTTATTTATATAGCACAATTCATACACAAGGCAATTCAAAGTGCTGAACAAAACAAGAAAGCATTAAAATCATAAATTATCACATAACATTAAAAAGAAAGATAAAAATATAAAATCCCTCAGTTGTATGCACAGTTAAACAGAACCGTCTTTAACCTGGTTTTAAACATTGTCAGAGAGGAGGCCTGTCTCACATCTTCAGGAAGACTGCTCCAGATTTTAGCAGCATGAATCTGAAAAGCAGCTTCCCCATGTTTAGTTCTGACTCTGGGCACTAACAGGAGTCCAGTCCCTGTGCTCCTCAGAGTCCCAGCAGGAGTCCAGTCCCTGTGCTCCTCAGAGTCCCAGCAGGAGTCCAGTCCCTGTGCTCCTCAGAGTCCCAGCAGGAGTCCAGTCCCTGTGCTCCTCAGAGTCCCAGCAGGAGTCCAGTCCCTGTGCTCCTCAGAGTCCGGACTGGTTCATATGGGACTAACATGTCACTAATATATTTTGGTGCGAGGCTATGGAGAGACTTGTAACAAGCAGAGCTGTTTTAAAGTCTATTCTCTGAGCCACAGGAAGCCAGTGCAGAGACCTGAGGACTGGACTAATGTGGTCGTACTTCCTGGTTCTAGTCAGGACTAATGTGGTCGTACTTCCTGGTTCTAGTCAGGACTAATGTGGTCGTACTTCCTGGTTCTAGTCAGGACTAATGTGGTCGTACTTCCTGGTTCTAGTCAGGACTAATGTGGTCGTACTTCCTGGTTCTAGTCAGGACTAATATGGTCGTACTTCCTGGTTCTAGTCAGGACTGGAGCTGCTGCATGTTGAATGTACTGCAGCTGTTTTACAGCCTGTTTGGACAGACCTGTGAGCAGGCCATTGCAGTAGTCTAACCTACTGGAGACAAATGCATGGATAAGAATCTCCAGGTCTGCTTTAGACACTATGTTTTTGATCCTGGCAATGTTTTTTAGATGGTAAAAAGCTGCTGATGTTACTGATTTGATGTGGCTATTAAAATTTAAGTCTGAGTCCAGTATTACCCCTAGATTTCTGACCTTGTTTGAAGGTTTTAGGGAGAGAGACTGTAGGTGACAGATGACGCTCTCTCTTTGTTTCTGGGGACCAAAGACAATCATTTCAGTTTTGTCTGCGTTTAGCTGAAGGAAGTTGTTTTGCATCCACTCACTGATCTGTTGGATACAGTGAAGGAGTGAGTCCACTGGTCCATGTTCTCCTGCAGTCAGTGAGACATAGATCTGAGTGTCGTCTGCATAGTTATGATAGGAAACTTCGTTTCTGCGTATTAACTGACCTAACGGCAGCATGTAGAGATTGAACAGAAGAGGTCCCAGGATCGACCCCTGTGGGACTCCACAGGTCAGGGCCATATGATCTGAGACACAGTTTCCAATCTCCACAAAGTACTTCCTGTCTTCAAGGTAAGACCTAAACCAACTTAGGGCGGTGCCAGCGACGCCAACCCAGTCCTCTAGTCTCTGTAAGAGGATCTCATGGTCGACGGTGTCAAAGGCAGCACTTAGATCTAACAGGATTAAGATTGAGACTTTGCCTGCGTCAGTGTTCAGCCGGATATCGTTTGTAACCTTAACAAGAGCAGTCTCAGTGCTGTGGTGGGGTCTAAAGCCGGACTGAAACATATCAAATGAGTTGTTGATTATAAGAAATCTAGTAAGCTGTAGGTAGACAACTTTCTCAAGGACTTTCCCCATAAATGGCAGATTTGAGATGGGACGATAGTTGTTAAGTACCGTAGCATCGAGACTGCTCTTTTTTAGCAGGGGCCTGATGACTGCAGTTTTCAGGGCCATCCATCCATCCATCCATTTTCTTCCGCTTTATCCGTTGCCGGGTCGCGGGGGCAGCAGTCTAAGCAGAGACGCCCAGACTTCCCTATCCACACACACCTCCTCAAGCTCGTCCGGGGGGACCCCTAGGCGTTCCCAGGCCAGCTGAGAGACATAGTCTCTCCAGCGTGTCCTGGGTCTTCCCCGGGGCCTCCTCCCGGTGGGACGTGCCCGGAACACCTCCCCAGGAAGGCGTCCAGGAGGCATCCTGAACAGATGCCCGAGCCACCTCAACTGGTTCCTCTCGACGTGGAGAAGCAGCGGCTCTACTCCGAGCTCCTCCCGTGTGACCGAGCTCCTCACCCTATCTCTAAGGGAGCGCCCAGCCACTCTGCGGAGGAAGCTCATTTCGACCGCTTGTATCCGCGATCTCGTTCTTTCGGTCATTACCCACAGCTCATGACCATAGGTGAGGGAGGGAACGAAGATTGACCGGTAAATTGAGAGCTTTGCCTTTCGGCTCAGCTCCCTCTTTACCACAACGGTCCGATACAGAGACCGCATCACTGCGCACGCTGCACCGATCCGCCTGTCAATCTCACGCTCCATCCTCCCCTCACTCGTGAACAAGACCCCGAGATACTTGAACTCCTCCACTTGAGGAAGGACCTCTCCACCCACCTGGAGAGGGCAAGGCACCTTTTTCCGGTCAAGCACCATGGCCTCGGATTTGGAGGTGCTGATTCTCATCCCAGCCGCTTCACACTCGGCTGCAAACCGTCCCAGTGCATGTTGCAGGTCCTGGTTCGTTGGAGCCAGCAGGACGACATCATCCGCAAAAAGTAGAGATGAAATCCTGTGGTTCCCGAACCGGACCCCCTCCGGCCCCTGGCTGCGCCTAGAGATTCTGTCCATAAATACAGTGAACAGAACCGGTGACAAAGGGCAGCCTTGGCGGAGGCCAACATGCACCGGGAACAGGTCTGACTTACTGCCAGCAATGCGAACACAGCTCTGGCTCCGGTCATACAGGGACCGAACAGCCCTCAGCAGAGGACCCCGGACCCCGTACTCCCGGAGGACCCCCCAAAGGACACCCCGGGGAACGCGGTCGAACGCCTTCTCCAAATCCACAAAGCACATGTGGACAGGTTGGGCGAACTCCCATGAACCCTCGAGTATCCGATGGAGAGTATAGAGCTGGTCCAGTGTTCCGCGACCGGGACGAAAACCACACTGCTCCTCCTGAATCCGAGATTCGACCATCGGACGAAGCCTCCTCTCCAGTACCTTGGAGTAGACCTTACCGGGGAGGCTGAGGAGTGTGATCCCACGATAATTGGAACACACCCTCCGGTCCCCCTTCTTGTAGAGAGGGACCACCACCCCGGTCTGCCACTCCATTGGCACCGCCCCCGATCGCCACGCGATGTTGCAGAGACGTGTCAGCCAAGACAGTCCTACAACATCCAGAGACTTTAGATAGTCAGGACGGATCTCATCCACTCCCGGCGCCTTGCCACCATGGAGGCTGCCAACCACCTTGGTGACCTCGGCCAGGGAGATGGAAGTATCCGCCCCAACATCCTCAGCCTCTGCCTCCTGGACGGGGGACGTGACGGGGGGATTGAGGAGAACCTCGAAGTATTCCTTCCACCGCCCGACAATATCCCCAGTCGAGGTCAGCAGCCCTCCACCCGCACCATACACGGTGTTGGCAAAGAACTGCTTCCCCCTCCTGAGGCGCCGGACGGTTTGCCAGAACCTCTTCGAGGCCGACCGATAGTCATGCTCCATGGACTCTCCGAACTCCTCCCAGTCCCGGGTTTTTGCCTCTGCAACAGCCCGGGCCGCGGCACGTTTGGCCTGCCGGTACTGGACAGCTGCCTCAGGAGTCCCACGAACCATCATTGCTCGATAGGACTCCTTCTTCAGCCTGACGGCATCCCTTACTGCCGGTGTCCACCACCGGGTTCGGGGATTGCCGCCGGGACCAGCACCAGAGACCTTGCGACCACAGCTACGAGCCGCCGCATTGGCGATAGAGGAAGAGAACATGGTCCACTCGGACTCGATGTCCCCCTCCTCTGCCGGGACCTGGGAGAAGCTCTCCCGGAGGTGTGAGTTGAAAGTCCGTCTGACAGGGGGCTCACCAAGACGTTCCCAGCAAACCCTCACTACACGCTTGGGCCTGCCAGGTCTGACCGGCCTCCTGCCCTGCCAGCGGATCCAACTCACGACCAGGTGATGATCGGTTGACAGCTCCGCCCCTCTCTTCACCCGAGTGTCCGAGACACGCGGTCGAAGGTCAGATGATACGACTACAAAGTCGATCATCGACCTCCGGCCTAGGGTGTCCTGGTGCCACGTGCACTGATGGACACCCTTGTGCTCGAACATGGTGTTCGTGATGGACAGGCCGTGACTGGCACAGAAGTCCAACAACTGAACACCGCTCGGGTTCAGATCAGGGCCGTTCTTCCCCCTTCACCCCTCTCCAAGTGTCACTGGCATTTCCCACATGGGCGTTGAAGTCCCCCAGGAGAATAACGGAGTCCCCGGGCGGTGCACTGTCCAGTACCCCTCCCAAGGACTCCAAGAAGGCCGGGTACTCTGCACTACCGTTAGGCCCGTAGGCCGTCACAACAGTGAGAGACTTGTCCCTCACCCGGAGGCGGAGGGACGCGACCCTCTCATTCACCGGGGAGAACTCCAACACGTGGCGGCTGAGATGGGGGGCAATGAGTATGGCCACCCCAGCTCGCCGCCTCTCCCCGCGGGAAACACCAGAAAAGTGGAGCGTCCAACCCCTCTCAAGGAGTTGGGTTCCAGAGCCCAAGCTGTGTGTGGAGGTGAGGCCGACTATCTCTAGTCGGTATCGCTCGACCTCCCCCACAAGCTCGGGCTCCTTCCCCCCCAGTGAGGTGACGTTCCACGTCCCAAGAGCCAGATGTTGGGTGTGTGGACTGGGTCGTCGAGGTCTCCGCCTTCGACTGCTGCCCAGTCCTCTCTGCACCTCGCCACCACGGACCCCTCTGCAGGTGGTGAGCCCACAGGAGGGACTGCCCACGTCATCCCTTCGGGCTGAGCCCGGCCGGGCCCCGTGGGCTAAGGCCCGGCCACCAGGCGCTCGCTTGCGAGCCCCGACCCCAGGCCTGGCTCCAGGGTGGGGCCCCGGCTGCGCCATGCCGGGCGACGTCACGGTTTTTGTTGTCGTGCTGTCCATGGTTGGCTTCGGACTGCGCTTCGTCTGACTCGTCACTTGAGACCTGTCTGCCATGGGAGACCCTACCAGGGGCATGAAGCCCCAGACAGCATAGCTCCCAGGATCATCCGAGTGCTCAAACTCCCCCACCACGTTAAGGTGGCAGTCCAAGGGGGGAGCCTTTGGGAATATTCCAGAATGAAGGGACATGTTTACTATCTGTGTGAGTGAAGGTAACAGACTGCTCAGAACAGACTTCAGAAATCTAGTGGGTAGTACATCCAAGCTGCATGTGGAGGAGCTCAAACTGGAGATTATCTCTTGGACAGTTTGATCATCTACAGGTGCAAAGTGAGTTAGCTCAAAGAGCCTTTCTGGCTGTTGGATGGTTATCTGTGGATTGGAGACAATGGCGTTTTTGATGCCTTGAACCTTGTCATTGAAAAAATTAGCAAGCTCATTGCATTTACGTTTGGAAGTAAGCTCTAATGGCATCTGAACAGGGGGGTTTGTTAATCTATTAACTGTTGAGAACAGAACACGCAGATTGTTGCTGCAGCCTTCAATCATTTCAGAAAAATACCTTTCTCTCGTACTACGTAGCACCCGGTTAAACTCGCACAACTTATCTTTGAAGATCTCGTAATCTACCTGGAGGTTGGACTTGCGCCACTTCCGCTCGGCCCTCCGGCACTTTCTCTTTTGTGCCCTGACCGAGTCTGCTTTAGCCCACGGCGCCTTCTGCTTATTTTTCACTATTTTAACCTTCACAGGGGCAACGGTATCCAGAACATTCAAAACACTAGAGGTGACAGAGTTAAACAGTTCATCTACAGTAGAATACGATGCATTCTCAAAGTTCATCATTCCCATAAATAGTTCACTCGTATTTTCATTTATGTGTCTTCTTCATACAGTTGCAGAGTCCACTGGTGGTTTGTTAGTGAAACACATGTCAAAAAAAACACAGAAATGATCCGAAAGAGCAACATCGACCACGTTTACATTTGAAATAATCACCCCCTTTGTAACCAACAGATCTAGAGTGTGCCCTCTGCTGTGGGTGGGGCCACTCACGTGCTGAGTGAGATCAAAGGATTCAAGTACAGAACTCAGCTCATTTGCATTTCTGTCATCAACATTATCCACATGAATATTAAAATCACCTGTAATAACCAAACTATCAAAATCTGTGCATACAACTGAAAGCAACTCGGTAAAATTATCAATAAAACTGTGACATGACTGCGGTGGCTTGTATAGGACAACGAAGAGTATTGGAGGAGATTGTTTTTGTTGTATTTTAAAAGACACATATTCAAATGACGAAAACTTCCCAAGAGACATTCTATGGGAGACAAAGTGGTCTCTAAAAATGGCAGCTAAGCCTCCTCCTTTTTTGTTTTCCCGTATTTCAGATTCAAACTTGAAATTTGGTGGTGATGCTTCTATTAAAACTGCATTTTCTGAATTTTGGTCAAGCCAAGTTTCAGCCATGAACATAAGATCTAGATTATAAGAACAAATAAAATTATTGATTAAAAAAGACTTGTTACAAAGAGATCTGACATTTAGCATAGCAAGTTTCAAAGTTTCAGTATCAGCGGTTGCGGTCGGCTGATTCTTACACGGAACAAGAATTAGATTTTCCAGATTAGACTGATTAACTCCAGATGTTTTTCTGTAATGTATTCTTTGTGTTATCACTAAGGGAATGGCACAGGTGGCTTCATGACAGGGCCCCAGCCGGGTCTCTCCTCTAACTAGACTGCCAGTGGCTGCGAAGCAGAGACCCTGTGCATCCTAGTGTTTAGAGAAAAGAGGGGAAGGGGAAGGCAGGGGAGGAGGATGGAGAGGTGGGTGGCTTTTGGGTGTTGAACGAGGGGGGCAGGGAGGTGGATGGGTTTTAGGTGATGGGTTAGGGCCGGGGTGGGCTGAGGCAGAGGTTTTGGATGTTGAACGAGGGGGAAGTTGGGGTGGAATGGTCATGAGGTTAGGGGAGGGACTGGCTGAGGTGGTTTTTGTAGGTGAATTGGAAACCCTAGGTGGTTTTGGAGGGTTTAGCATGTTGGACAGGATGGGTGTGAGGAATAGTGCCGATTTTATTAGCCCTGCAGAGTGTTCAGGTAGGTCTAACAGTGAAGGCGGGGATGAAAAACAAAGGGAGGTGTCCCCATTCTCTCTTGATGGAGTGGACGTGGCAGGGGGGACCCAAGACAGGTCCATGGGAGGTGGCGAGGGAGTCTTTGATGGAGGGGCAGGTGGTTGAGGAAACCCCAGCACAGGCCTGTCTGCTGTAGGCTGGGGTGAGGATGAGGGCTTCAGAGGCGAAGGCGTGGCTGCTTTGGAGCAGGCTGGGGATGAGGATGTTGGTGGTGGTGGTCGTGCTGCTGGTGCTGCTACTGGTGATGATGCAGCTGCTGCTGGTGATGATGCAGCTGCTTCTGATGACAGTGGAGGTGTTGAGATCCTTCGAGGTGGTGGTGGTGTTGAGATCCTTCGAGGTGGTAGAGGTGCAGAGACTTTTGGAGTTGGCTTCCTCCCTTTCGATGGCTGCACGCGCTGCGCAGGCTGAGGTCTCAGGGCAAAAGAAAGGTTATCCATCAACACTTTTACTCCGTAAGTGTTCAGATGTGGCCCTTTCCCTTCAAAAAGCTCATGCCTATTCCAGAACAGATTAAAATTCTCAATGAAGGCAAGTCCTCTGCGTGAACATTCGTTGAGTAGGAAAGTATTTAGCTGATACAGACGACTGAATTTCATTTGCTTCCCGTCCACATTTGGTAGTGGGCCACTGATAACAATTTTTGTGTCCATTTTAGCAAGGTCGTCCAATAAGAGAGAGTAATCCCGTTTCAACTTTTCACTTGTGTTGTCATAGACGTCTACTGCCCCCACGTGGATCAACAATCTTTTTACCCCGCCGGTCTCAGACAGAAGCCTCGGAGCCAACCGCCTTATCTCATCCACTTTGGCAGAGTGTACTGAGTGAACCTTGAGATTACGCATAAGCTGACCTAAAGCTTACCTAGAGCTAACCTAGAACTGACCTAGAGCTTACCTAGAATTAACTTAAAGCTAACCTAGAGCTGACCTAGAGCTGACCTAGAGCTAACCTAGAGCTAACCTAGAGCTCACCTAAAGCTAGCCTAGAGCTGACCTAGAGCTAACTTAGAGCCAGAAGGTTCTAGACTCTTCTGTCTGGTTCTAGACCCTCCTGTCTGGTTCTAGACCCTTCTGTTTGGTTCGAGACTCTTCTGTTTGGTTCTGGACCCTTCTGTCTGGTTCTAGACTCTTCTGTTTGGTTCTAGACTGAAGAAGAGGATGTACCTTCGATGAGGTAACAGTCCAGGACTCCTTCCTCGTCCACCTCTGGGAACCCGTAGTCATCCGTCTTGGAGTAGGTCCCAGGAGGACAGGAGGGGGCCTCGGTGGAGGCCTCGGTGGAGGCCTCAGTGGGGGCCTCGGTGGGGGCCTCGGTGGAGGCCTCGGTGGGGGCCTCTGTGGGGGCCTCGGTGGGGGCCTCAGTGGGCGGGTCCAGCCCCAGCACAGGCCGCCCTCCCACCATCAGCAGCTTGTCTCTGGGGTTGACCACCGGGCGACTGTCCCGACCGTGTCCGAACAGAGCCACACCCTCCTGGGTCACCAGCGGACTGCCCATCTGGTCTGCACATACAAGCAACACACAACCTGCCCATCTGGTCTGCACATACAAGCAACACACAACCTGCCCATCTGGTCTGCACATACAAGCAACACACAACCTGCCCATCTGGTCTGCACATACAAGCAACACACAACCTGCCCATCTGGTCTGCACATACAAGCAACACACAACCTGACCATCTGGTCTGCACATACAAGCAACACACAACCTGCCCATCTGGTCTGCACATACAAGCAACACACAACCTGCCCATCTGGTCTGCACATACAAGCAACACACAACCTGACCATCTGGTCTGCACATACAAGCAACACACAACCTGACCATCTGGTCTGCACATACAAGCAACACACAACCTGCCCATCTGGTCTGCACATACAAGCAACACACAACCTGCCCATCTGGTCTGCACATACAAGCAACACACAACCTGACCATCTGGTCTGCACATACAAGCAACACACAACCTGCCCATCTGGTCTGCACATACAAGCAACACACAACCTGCCCATCTGGTCTGCACATACAAGCAACACACAACCTGCCCATCTGGTCTGCACATACAAGCAACACACAACCTGCCCATCTGGTCTGCACATACCAGCAACACACAACCTGACCATCTGGTCTGCACATACCAGCAACACACAACCTGACCATCTGGTCTGCACATACAAGCAACACACAACCTGCCCATCTGGTCTGCACATACAAGCAACACACAACCTGACCATCTGGTCTGCACATACCAGCAACACACAACCTGCCCATCTGGTCTGCACATACAAGCAACACACAACCTGCCCATCTGGTCTGCACATACAAGCAACACACAACCTGCCCATCTGGTCTGCACATACAAGCAACACACAACCTGACCATCTGGTCTGCACATACAAGCAACACACAACCTGACCATCTGGTCTGCACATACCAGCAACACACAACCTGCCCATCTGGTCTGCACATACCAGCAACACACAACCTGACCATCTGGTCTGCACATACAAGCAACACACAACCTGCCCATCTGGTCTGCACATACCAGCAACACACAACCTGACCATCTGGTCTTCACATACAAGCAACACACAACCTGACCATCTGGTCTGCACATACCAGCAACACACAACCTGCCCATCTGGTCTGCACCTTGATTCTTGGTCCCTTATGGTTCTCACTATGCTCCTGCTGGTACCCTCCTGAGAAAGCATGATGCTGGCTTTCATTTTGATGCAGATGATTCTCAGATGGTTCTACCGCTGGACTGTGACAGGAGCCTCTCTGACTGTTTGGACGATCTATAATCAGAGCAGTGGCCACACCCCCTCTGCTGCTCTGGGCCTGGACCTGGGCCTGGACCTGGGCCTGGACCTGGACCTGGGCCTGGACCTGGGCCTGGACCTGGGCCTGGACCTGGGCCTGGACCTGGGCCTGGACCTGCAGATCCAAAAGTCGTCAAAGCTTTTTCAGCGAAGGCAAATGTAACCCGCATTTCCTAACATGATATTTTTATATTTATTATGGTTGCCCAACATTAATAATATTTTATGAATATTGCGGCCCAATAAATGCATACAGCGTCAGCCCTGCTTCCCTCTAACCTGCGGGGTCATACCAGGTCATTCCCCCCCGCCCCTTCCTGGACGGCTCTCTGTGACTGTGGCCTGTGGCGTGCGTCTGGCTTCTCTGCGTTTATTGCCTTTTACCGCGCTGATTTTGCCTCATATTATCTTTTACGTTGAATCTCCGATCCAGGGTGAGTCCATATACAAGTTATGGTCGTATTATGTGCTGCATATCTTTGTGAGCGCTCATGATCGCGTAACTTTCAGAGTATCAGCCAGTGTTTGTTAGCGGGGCTAACAAACCCAACAAACTACTCGGCCTGACATCATCCCACTTCGAATCTGACTCTGTACCTTCAATGGTCAGGCTTTTGTTTTTACGTTGGATTATTGCAACGTCTCTTCGACCGACTGCAATCACCTTCTGATGGCGAGCTATTGTTCTACCTGAGTGGTAGGATCTTGAATACTTGAACTTTTCTGAATCCCAAAAAGGAAATCTAAAGACTCTAAAAGGAACTTAAAGTACAGTTATGAGCCCACCATAACTGAATTGAACTGACCTACCAAAGGACACTTTTAGTTTTTGTATTTTTCTTTTTGTATTACAAATATTTCCTTATATCTGCCCTATTTATAGCAACACATGTAAATAATATAATATCGTTATCGCATACCTCACCTATATTTATAGAATCTGTGACTACAATCAATATATATATACTTCTCTAACAACGCAATTGATTTTGTCTGTGTTTCATTCACACACCCTGGCTCCTTGGCCGAATCTACTTCTGGTCAACCTAATTGTTCACTCTGCTACTAGCCTAGCGTTACATTTGTCGAGCTAGCCAGGAGCCACACTGTGTGAATATTCACCGAGTCACATTACTTTTGACTAGTTTTGAATATTTTTGTTTTCCTGAGACATCCCTAGTAATATGGATGTCTTTGAACAAATGGGGGTAAATATTACCCATTGTGTTTATGTGACAGGTGTGACAAACACTCAAGCAGATGACGAGTTAGTTGATTTTTTACGTACCTTTGGCGACGTCAGAATGGCGGTTACAGTTACTGACCCCGATAGTTCCTTCTACAAAAGCCTGATTGTTGAATATAGAAACATAGCAGCTTTAAACAGACTAAAGCCACTGCTGCCATACAAATATAAATCTGAGAAAAATGCAGAGTATATCTGCCGGATTAAGCCACTTGCGGAGGAGTTTCAGGCCACAGTCACAGGGAGTATTTCCACCAGCCTCCCTGCCCGTCCTGCTACCCCTTCCATCGACTACCTCCATGAACTCAAACGCATAGCCCAACGAAGTGGAAAGCCCTTTGAAGAAGTCATGAAGGAAGTGATGGACCAGCTAAGTGAACATCTGGGGGAAGTCGGAGGTGAGGGGACTGACGATGAGGATGACGGAGAGGAAGAAAGGGACACTAAAGCGGAAGTACGTGGGCCTGAGCTGTCAGAGTTACCATTGCATTCCACAGTCACCGCTGAGCTGCCAGGTCATTCCCCCATTGACCAGTCGGCAACCTTTCCTCAACCCAACCCTTCAATCAACATAGGGCAGAGGGTTTCTCTTTCCCAGAGGGTTTCTCTTTCCGGTCACCACTTGAACCCCCCAGAAGTACAGAGAGTAGTCGTGGAGCACATCATGAGAAAAGATGACTTTAGCTCTCAACCCATGTCCCTGCTGCGCCTCCGTACATTTTCTGGAAGAACGCCCAAACCAGCTAATGAAGCGGATTATGACTCGTGGCGTTCCCACATTGAACTTTTGCGTGCAGATCCCAGCTTGTCACAGTTGCATGTTACACGCCGCATCCTGGACAGTCTGCTCCCTCCCGCTGCGGATCTTGTTAAAGGCTTGGGACCCAATTCGCTGCCCGCCATGTTCATCCAAGTCCTTGACTCAGCTTTTGCCACTGTTCAGGATGGAGACGAGCTTTTTGCGCAATTTCTGAATACTCTTCAGGACCATGGAGAGAGGCCGTCCTCCTACCTGCAAAGGTTGCAGCTGACATTAGGTACAGTCATAAAGCGAGGTGGCATTTTACCAGGAGACCCTGACAAACATCTATTAAAGCAGTTTTGCAGAGGGTGTTGGGACAATGCAGTCATCACAAAATTACAGTTAGAACAAAGGAGGGATAACGGTCCGTGTATTTTTCGTTCAATTGTTTTTTCAAATTAAAATAGAAAATGAAATAACAAAAAATGGCTTGAATTTTCATTTTTCATTTTGATGAGGAAAAGGAAAAACGAAAAATTGGCTTGATATTTGATTTTTCGTTTCGATGCAAAAAATGAAAAAACGAAATATTGAATAATGCTATCATGCCGATTTGATTTCATTTTTCGTTTTGGGGCAACCGGAAGTGTGCGCCAAAGCCCGTGCACCCCATTATTTTCGTCCGGCTGAAAACAGCCGAAAGCAGCCAGGCCTCAAGTGAGTTCAGTCTGGTTCAGTCTTGACCTGAAAATGTGAGGAAATAGGCGGAGGCTGCTTTCACCACAATTGCCTCTATATGCCAGTGAACTTGTCTTTATCTGCCTGAAATGTGTGTCTTCGGGTCGAACACGTGACGTCATGCACGTTCACGTTAGCTGTAGCAGCGCTGGCTGTATCTGTCACTACTGAAGCTGCAGAGGTGGCTCTGGAAAGACGAATACAGTGGAGAATAACAAGAGACCGGCTTCAGGCAGCGCTGAAACTCCAGCCCAAACTAAAGTAAAGTGCTTGAAAGGTAAGGCGGTTGTTTCTAAATACGTGTGGGCAAAAGTAGTGTTAGTTGTTTCAACGCAGCGGTCCGTGCATCACGAGGCTACGTAGCAAAATGCCATTTCTTTTGCCAGTAACTGAGTTTGGCTGCGTTTTAATTGTGGAAAACGCACAGAATGAGGCATGGATGTCTCCTTTTCCAAAATACCAGCCCTAGTAAACCCCAGCCAGATCTCTGCGTTAGAAGGAAATAACACAACAGCTAGCATTAGCTGGATATGCTACATGAACTTATGCGCAGCGTTTTGTTTACAAACGGGGCTATTTTAGAAACAACTGCAGTACCTACAGCTTTAGCAAAGGGCTCGTTGTTTAGTTAAGAAGGAGAGGCTTACAAACATGTCCAGTATTCAGGCAATCATGTGTAAATTACATTATTATCATTGCATTATTCTCAATGTATTTCAATGTGTACAAACTTTGCACATGTGTTTACCAAAGCAAGTACTAAAATGGCATGTGTGAAGTTACATTCTTTTTAACACTGTTTTGTGTCCATATAGTTTGGAACAGCCAAAACTGAAACATGGGATGCACGGAGGAGATGATCGACAGATTAGTTGCCCTTGGTAAGCATATTCACTACAGTGTATCCTTACAGGCCACTCTCCAGGTAATGCACTAAGCTCTTGGACATCTGATTATTATAGATTTGCTGGAATGTTTGTTTTTCACTATTTTCCCATTATCTAACTTTTTTTTCCAAAAAGATCCCTCCACTATGTGCTGTACATACACAACAATGGAGCTAAACACCATGGACATCATCAGTGTTGTCAATGTGGACCAAGAAAGGGTTGACAGTAAAAGTGGTGCCATGGAGAAGGCAGCTTTTTATCGAAACCTTTGATAAACTCACAAAGGAGATGCACATCGCAAAGATTGTAACTGATGCTCGAGTAGATTCAGATTCAGATTCATTTATTGCCATTTGCAGTAAAACCACATTGGAAAACTGTGCAAGACTACCCCGGTGTGCACCAGACAGAGAAGACGACACACACCAGAGCTCTTGCCACGGCGCCATCTTTACGGCGCCATGCGACAAACAGTAGAATAAACAGCAGAGAGCAATAACATACAGTTTCACAGACAGTTGGATAGACACATTGTGCTTTGTATAAACCACGGATTTTTTTTCTCGGGATGAGCACCTCCGACTGCCGGCCCAATGTGGCTGTCAGAGGGGGGCGGGGTCAGGGAGGGGGGTGAGTCGGAAACACAGTGAGGAGTGGAGGGGAGGGAGGGAGCAAGATGGATAGAGAGGGAGGCGGGGGAGACGGGATCCGAGCTGGAGACTGAAGTGTGAGATTGTTGTAGATGGGACTTTTGTTATTATGGCCTTGGCCCGAGGAATGTGAGATAAGAGTGGAGAGAAGACACAGCTGGAGAAAAACACATCGCCTCAGGGGGACAATATTAAATGCAATGTCGCAGTCAAAAACAGGCAGATATTCTATTAAATCCAATTAAACCGAATTGCGGCGCCCTCAGACCCCGTACACAGGGGCAAATCCAAGCCGGGTCAGAGAGTTCAAGCCTGACAAACAATGTCATTCAATCTCAACTCCAGAGTCTTATGTCCATCGAGTGAACGAGCTGCGAGGTCTTTAACCAACTGTTCCACCAAAACCACTCTCCTTTGTCCAGACACGGCACTCTCAACCACGACGCGGCTAAGCTCCTTGTACATCCCATCAATTTTGTCGGCCAGCAGGTCGTGAATCTTGCGAACTGCCATGCCTCCGAATTTGTGGTAGAAGAGAACTGCTCCAAAGCCAAACAGGAGGATTCCCACCACCAAAATGCCAAAGATATATACGTCTTCCGAATCTTCAATGGACAGGGTCGACAGACAGAGGGGCTGAAACTTGTTCCAGCTGTCAAGAGTATACCCCGCTGGTGAAGTCCCGTCCGGGCACTCGGGCTCTCCAGACCCACGCTTACGTGTTGAAAAGATAGAATCAATTGCGTTGAGGGACCAGTTAATCATTTCCATTCTTGCTAAAAGTTGTCTGTGGCAAAACTCCAGGAAAAAGACAAAAACAGGAGATAGCAGCAGTCAGAAGCAGGAGCGTCTGAGACACGTCTGTGCTCGACGGAGGCGGAAGTATATCGCTGCCCTTATGCATAAGGAATATTAAAGGTAAAGGTGCACTTGGTTGATCCCCGCAGGGCAATTCAATCCTCTGCATTTGACATAACATGCTTATGAGTTTTTAATTTGAATTGCAACTTGTTACAAGATTATTTTGTTGTGTTCTGAACAGATCGAGAAAAGGGCAGATATCAGGGTATTATTCCTTCACTCGATGTCTGGCATGCCTCAAATAATCTAACAAAGAAACTTCGTGCTGTATGTCGAATTATCCATCCATCCATCCATTTTCTTCCCCTTAATCCATTTCTGGGTCGGGGGGGTGGCAGTCAGAGCTGCACCCAGTTCACAGAGCACCAGCCTCTCACTGATCCTCCTGCAGGTGCTGAGTCCACAGGAGCTGAGATCTTTCAGTGGGAGCTTCAGGCAAAGTGGGGTTAAGTGTCTTGCCCAAGGACACAACGACAGCAGTCATCAGTGGGAGTCGTGAAGTAGGTCTTATGGTGGGCTTGAACCCACGACCTTCAGGCCCAAAGGCCAATGCTCTACCAACTGAGCTACTGTCAAATTATATTATATTATATTATATTGTTCTGTTAAGACTTTTTTTTAAAATAACTTTGGTGTCTTCCAACAGGCTGGAATGGTTTCTGGTCAAAAGCCTATACTTGTATGGATCAAGGACATTAACCATTTCTGTTATGCTTGTCAGAACACAAGCCCCAGAGAGGAGTTTATGGTCTGTATGAACATTACATTTATAAAGTCACCTGATATTGTCACTTTTTCTCTTTGTGTGGTGAAATGGTATAACTTTTTTCACACATGCTGTAATTTGTTGTCTTCTTGTACACTCCTCACTGCAGTAGACAATAACACCATAACCATCGCCCAGTGCATGTGAACAGGAAAGGCCCAGTATTGTAAGTCATACTTTATTGCTTGATGATAAAGAAATATATTATTTGTACTGATGTCTACACTAATGATTTGTAGACATGAACGAGACTACAGCAGAAAGTCTCAGCGTTACAGTGTGCACTGTGAAGGAGACTGAAGACTACAGCTCTATCCCAGACCAGCGCCTCAGCTCTGCTGGGGGCTCATGACCCCAGGGCCCTGGGTCCTGTCCTCCTCATCCCTCCTCCTGCTGGGGGCTCATGACCCCAGGGCCCTGGGTCCTGTCCTCCTCATCCCTCCTCCTGCAGCTGAACTGGAGCAGACACAACAGAGGACAGGTAGTGATGATAATCAAGTGGAAAACAAGTCTCTATGATATAAAATATTTTTCTTTCTTTTTCTAGAACTTGATATCTGGTCCCTGAACAGAGGACAGCAATCAAAGATGGACACAGCACATTTATTTATATTATGTCAGATTTTGTACACATTTTTCCCAAACATTGAAATAAATGTAAGACTTGTTTCTAAAGTGGTGATGAGTTGCATTTTTGTTTTAATTCCCCACTGTGGGACTAATAAAGCGGGCTTCTTTATAACCAACAGGTCGTGCTCTTCTTATTCTAGACTCTCCTGGCTGCTCCTCTTCCTCCTCTGGCTGCTCCTCTTCCTCCTCTTCCTCCTCTGGCTGCTCCTCTTCCTCCTCTTGCTGCTCCTCTTCCTCCTCTGGCTGCTCCTCTTCCTCCTCTGGCTGCTCCTCTTCCTCCTCTGGCTGCTCCTCTTCCTCCTCTTCCTCCTCCTCCTCCTCCTCTCCCCCTTTCAGAGTCACTGCTCTCAGGAATTCAGATTTAACTGGACTGGAGTCCTGGAAGGAAAAGCAAAAAGATTTACATGTCACCATTCTGGAATGTATGTTTTGTACAAACTTCATTAATGTGAGCCATGAAAAAAGATTATGAATTTATCAGAAGAGTTGATATAGTTTTATACCTACAGACAACTTGTGTAGTATTAGTAGCAGACTAGTGTCAGTAATAACACTAATAAAAACAAAACAGTAACAGTGGTAATTATGCTGTATTTTCTATGGGAATAATAATGTTGCTAATGTTAGCTTGTCTTGGCTGCAAAATAACAGTGACTTCACTGATTTATGTTTATGAGTAGTAAATATACCACAAAAAGTCTCATGCTACGCTAACCTTATAAGGCCCAATGAAAAGATGATTTTGGCTTGTCATGGAAGCATTTCTATCTGTGGAATTGTATTATTACAGTTAGGCTTACGTTTATATATACATAATATACACTTTTTTTGTTCCCCTTTCAAACGTTCTTTTGATGATTCACTTTGCTTTACATTTGTTGAAATTGATTTGGTCTAAATATCATACAAAACAGTAACATTACTTACCTCTGTTGAAGTCATCCCCGCAAATCTGTAAATGATCAGGACAGGACCATAATCAGCTGTTTCTGTTCTGTTCCTCGTGCACGCACCTGCTTTCTGCTGTTTCAAACCGGACGAAAATAATGGGGTGCACGGGCTTTGGCGCACACTTCCGGTTGCGCCAAAATGAAAAATGAAATCAAATCGGCATGAAAGCATTATTCAATAGTTCGTTTTTTCATTTTTTGCATCGAAACGAAAAATCAAATGTCAAGCCATTTTTTCGTTTTTCCTTTTCCTCATCAAAATGAAAAATGAAAATTCAAGCCATTTTTTGATATTTCATTTTCAATTTTAATTTGAAAAAACAATTGAACAAAAAATACACGGACCGATAACCCACCCGCTTTTTCCGAACTATTGTTCCTGCTTCGAACTGAAGAGGATAGGCAGCTGGCCAAAGACTCTTTGATGAAGAAACATATTACTTCTTCAAAACAACGGGCCAGTTTGCAGTCCCACACCACACCCTCCTGCCCATGCGGTCAAGCAGACCCCACTGCCATAAATGAATTGAAGCAGCAAATGCAAAAACTGCAAAGTCAGATGTCTGCCTTGCTGGCTAAGACAATGCCTGCCTCTAATTCTAATGCAGATCGCCGGCAGGGCAAGCAAAAAGCTAAAACCAATGGCTCAACAAAACCCAAGCCTTGGTTTTGTTTCAAGTGCGGCGAAGATGGACACATTGTTCCCTCGTGTACAAACCCTGCCAATCCCAGTCTTGTAGAGCAGAAACGAAGCCAACTCAGACAGAGACAGCTAGCATGGGATGCTAAGAACAAAATACCGTCAAACTAGACGCAGCTTCTTCTGAGGGACAAGTGGAAGCTGCCGTACACGAGCGTCCCCATAACAAACATGCCGCATCGCAACTTTCATTACCAAAAGGACTCATTGGAACAAAGAGCACCGGACAGGTCAGGATTAACGGAATGGATTTTAACTGCCTGTTTGACACCGGCTCTCAGGTCACCACGGTCACCCACTCATTCTATAACTCATATTTGTCTGACCATGAGATCAAGCCGCTAGACAACTTGCTGGAGGTGGAAGGTGCTAACGGACAGGCAGTACCCTACTTGGGATATGTGGAGCTGGATGTTGAGTTTCCTGTGGAGTTCCTGGGTCAGGCAACGACAGTTGAGACTCTTGCATTGGTGGTGCCTGATCTCCGCTCCTCACAGCTCTCTGTGCTCATTGGAACCAACACACTGGATGTAGTATATGCAAAACAATTTGGCACTAAAGACGTACAGTTCAGTCCGCTGCAATACGGATACAGGGCAGGTTAAAGATGTTGGAGCACAGACACAATCTTACCATTAACGACCACCATGGCATCCTCAACCTGCAGTCCAGTAGTCCAACAGCCATCACCGCTGGGGCCACCGTTGTTTTGGACGCTTTAGCCATTGCTCCAGTCTTGCAAGGCGAGAGGGCTGCCATTGTGCAACACCCAGTTTCCTTCTCTCTGCCTGGTGGTCTCATGATAAAATCCTGCCTGGTAGATCTACCTCCGCAACAGCCATACCACCTGCCTGTAGTTGTTACAAACCAGGGCGTATTGCCATTGCAGAGCTCTGTGCGATCCGGACAGTTCTACACCAGGAACACAGTGTACGCTTACTTGAGCAACAGCAGTCAGAGTCCAAGCTCAATTACAACTTCACAGATTCACCCATTTCACCCTAGTGGAAACAGCGCATTATTGCAAAGCTGGACGGCATCCCTGAGGTCTTTGCCAAACACAACATGGATTTTGGTTGCACCAATAAAGTTAAACACCAAATCAAGCTTGCTGATCCAACCCCGTTCAAGCAAAGACCCAGACCAATCCACCCACAAGATCGGGATGCTGTCAAACAACACCTTAAAGAGCTGCTGGATTCTGGCGTGATACGAGAATCGGACTCCCCATTCGCTTCCCCCCATCGTAGTGGTACGCAAAAAGAACGGCAGCGTAAGGCTCTGTATTGATTATAGGAAGTTGAACACTCAAACCATTAAAGATGCATACCCTTTGCCCAAGCTCGAGGACACTTTCACTGCACTGTCCGGATCAAAATGGTTCTCCGTATTAGATTTGAAGTCGGGGTACTACCAAATCGAAATGGAGGAGTCTGACAAACCAAAAACAGCATTTGTCTGTCCAGTGGGATTCTGGGAATTTAATCGAATGCCACAAGGTGTCACCTGAAATCTCCACCTGAAAGAAGCGCTAGTTTTCATTGACGATCTGATTGTATTCGCTCCTACCCTGGCAGAGCATGAAGAGAGTCTGATGAAGGTCCTACAGCGGCTAAAGGAGTTTGGCCTTAAGTTGTCTGTGGAGAAGTGCATCTTTTTCCAACCATCAGTGCGGTATCTCGGGCATGTTGTGTCAAGGAATGGAGTTGAAACAGACCCAGATAAGATTGCCACTTTAACATCATTGCCAGTGCCCCAGAATCTGAAGGAGCTTTGCTCATTCCTTGGTTTCGCTGGATACTACCGACGGTTTGTGAAGGATTACTCTTCAATCGTTAAACTGTTGAACGAGCTTACCTCGGGTTATCCACCGAGCCAGAAAAAAATGAAACAAACCGCAAAGCCCCAGGATTACTTAAATCCAAAGGAGCCTTTCGGGGGTCGCTGGTCTTTGGCATGCCAAACTGCTTTTGAAACCATCATACAAAAGCTAACATCTGCCCCAGTTCTGGCTTTTGCTGATACTAGCAAGCCGTACATTCTTCATACAGATGCCAGCTGCACCGGTCTTGGTGCAGTCTTGTATCAGGAACATGAGGGCAAGAAGAAAGTTGTCGCTTATGCTAGCCGAGGTTTGTCTCGGAGTGAAGCAAGATACTCTGCACACAAGCTAGAATTCTTGGCACTCAAGTGGGCGGTAACCGAGAAGCTGAGTGATTACTTGTATGGCACTCATTTTACTGTAGCCACCGACAGTAATCCTTTGACCTATCTCTTGACCTCCGTGAAACTTGACGCAACGAGCTACCGTTGGCTTTCGGCACTTTCCACGTACTCTTTTAAGATCATCTACAGAGCGGGAAAGCAAAACGCTGACGCGGACGGTCTCTCGCGTCGACCACATGAGGAGGTACCGGAAGACCACTTATCACAGAAGGAGCGTGAAAGGATATTAAGGTTTACCCAGCATCACCTTGAAGATCCTTCCTCAGTCTCCATCGACCAGCACACAGTCCACGCCATCTGTGAGCGACAGCTTGTATTCAGTTCCGCTGATGATGACAACATTACTGCTCTCGTCCAGAGGCTTTCCACTGACCCACAATGTCTACCTGATGATTTTGTTGATGATGCACAGGTTGCTTCGTCCGTCATACCAGCTTTCTCTCATGCCGACATCTCAGCAAAACAACGTGCTGATCCCGTTTTGCAACATGTCTTTGCCCAACTGGAAAGCGGGGAAAGTGCACCTACCCCTCTGAGAACCGCGCTTCCAGACCTGCCTTTGATCCTTCGAGAACTCCCGAAATTGTAGCTCCATCACGACGTTCTTGTGAGGAGGCGGCAGATTGGGGGTGAGATGTCTTACCAGCTGGTGTTGCCCGAAGAATACCGGTCTGAAGCTCTTTTCCAGCTGCATGACCAGATGGGACACTTGGGCATCAAGAGAACCCTAGATCTTGCGCGATCCCGGTTTTACTGGCCTCGCATGTCTCTAGACATTCACAACAAAATAAAGAACTGTGAAAGATGCATCAGACGGAAAGCACACCCTGACAAAGCAGCTCCTCTGGTCAATATCACCACAACAAGGCCTTTAGAACTTGTATGCATGGACTTTTTGTCGCTGGAACCTGATCGAAGCAAGACCAAGGACATACTTGTCATAACCGATCACTTCACAAAGTATGCAGTTGCGGTTCCCACGCCGAACCAAAAAGCTAGGACCATGGCTAAGTGCTTGTGGGATAACTTCCTGGTGCATTATGGGATCCCTGAAAAGCTCCATAGTGATCAGGGACCCGATTTCGAAAGCCGCACCATCAAGGAATTCTGTGCGATGGCAGAAATAACCAAGACCCGAACCACCCCATACCACCCTCGGGGTAACCCAGTAGAGCGGTTCAATCGCACCCATCTGGACATGCTTGGTACTCTTGAAAATCACCGCAAGACCCAATGGAAAGATTTCGTAAAACCATTGGTGCACGCATATAATTGCACCCGGAGTGATGCAACTGGTTTCTCCCCCTATGAGCTTATGTTCGGGCGCCAACCACGTCTTCCAATAGACCTTGCTTTTGGCCTGCCCTTAGGAGAGAAAGTGCAGACATCTCACTCTCAGTACGTCAGCAAGCTCAAAGCCCATCTTGAAGAGAGCTATAAAATTGCCATTGAGAATTCTGAGCGGTTGATGCTCAGGAACAAAACCAGATTTGACAAAAACATTACTGCTTCAGAGTTGTCTGTGGGTGATCGGGTGCTGGTGAAGAATGTGTGCATAAGGGGAAAGCACAAGATTGCAGATCGGTGGGAGCCAGAGGTCATAATTATCATCAAAAGATCTGGTCCACTTCCCGTCTACACTGTTAAACCAGAGAACAAAGATCGTCCTGTTCGAACACTGCACAGAGACCTTCTCTTACCTTGTGGCTTCCTTCCTTCTCCCGCAAAGCAAACCCAGCATAAGGGGGACCGTCCTTTGTCTTCGACAGGGTCGGGACCCCCAGAACCTTCTGAAGATGGCGATGAAGACCTATCAGACAAAGAAATGTTTCCGAATGTGCCTCGCTCCATCCCAGAACCAATTCGATTCACTTCTGTGGTTGAGATTCCTTCTTCCTCACGCCCCACTTCTACTTCTCACTCACCCGAATTGCCTGTGGTTCCGCCTGGCCAGCAACCTCAGTCTATTCCAGATGAAGAAGTTCAAGTTGCAGTGGAACGTTGTGAGATGGAGCTTGAGCCTGAACCGGAGTCGAATGACTCGCATGACTATGAGAACTTACCTGATGATACCGTACCTGAACCCGAACCTGCGAATACTCACCTCGATCCAGAACCTGATGCAACATTGGAGCCAGTGGACAATTCTTCCTCTGATCCGGAGTCCCCGGAGTCTCTCAGTTCTCCTCCTGACTCGCCCTCTGACCCCAATACGTCCAGTCCAGACATTGACCCACCGGTCCGCCGTCAAACCAGAGAACGTCGTCCCCCTGACCGATTGCAATATTCGAAACTTGGTCACCCCTTGTTACATAGCATTCAGTCTTTGTTTCATGGACTAAGCACAGCGTTCAATTATGCTTTTGAACTCGATTAGGCCCAGCCAACCCTTGCCAGTGCCCAGCCGGTCTGCTGTCAGCCTGTTGCATGTACAGGGCCGTACATGAGTTTAGGGGGGGAACGTGTAACCCGCATTTCCTAACATGATATTTTTATATTTATTATGGTTGCCCAACATTAATAATATTTTATGAATATTGCGGCCCAATAAATGCATACAGCGTCAGCCCTGCTTCCCTCTAACCTGCGGGGTCATACCAGGTCATTCCCCCCGCCCCTTCCTGGACGGCTCTCTGTGACTGTGGCCTGTGGCGTGCGTCTGGCTTCTCTGCGTTTATTGCCTTTTACCGCGCTGATTTTGCCTCATATTATCTTTTACGTTGAATCTCCGATCCAGGGTGAGTCCATATACAAGTTATGGTCGTATTATGTGCTGCATATCTTTGTGAGCGCTCATGATCGCGTAACTTTCAGAGTATCAGCCAGTGTTTGTTAGCGGGGCTAACAAACCCAACAAACTACTCGGCCTGACATCATCCCACTTCGAATCTGACTCTGTACCTTCAATGGTCAGGCTTTTGTTTTTACGTTGGATTATTGCAACGTCTCTTCGACCGACTGCAATCACCTTCTGATGGCGAGCTATTGTTCTACCTGAGTGGTAGGATCTTGAATACTTGAACTTTTCTGAATCCCAAAAAGGAACTCTAAAGACTCTAAAAGGAACTTAAAGTACAGTTATGAGCCCACCATAACTGAATTGAACTGACCTACCAAAGGACACTTTTAGTTTTTGTATTTTTCTTTTTGTATTACAAATATTTCCTTATATCTGCCCTATTTATAGCAACACATGTAAATAATATAATATCGTTATTGCATACCTCACCTATATTTATAGAATCTGTGACTACAATCAATATATATATACTTCTCTAACAACGCAATTGATTTTGTCTGTGTTTCATTCACACACCCTGGCTCCTTGGCCGAATCTACTTCTGGTCAACCTAATTATTCACTCTGCTACTAGCCTAGCGTTACACAAAGATAGTCTGTTTTAACAGAGCAGCACTTTGAGACTGATGTGCTTTTGTGACAACCTTAGAAGCACTTTACGGCGAAGCACTTTACGGCGAAGCACTTTACGGCGATGCACTTTACGGCGATGCACTTTACGGCGAAGCACTTTACGGCGAAGCACTTTACGGCGAAGCACTTTACGGCGATGCACTTTACGGCGATGCACTTTACGGCGATGCACTTTACGGCGATGCACTTTACGGCGAAGCACTTTACGGCGATGCACTTTACGGCGATGCACTTTACGGCGATGCACTTTACGGCGATGCACTTTACCGCGAAGCACTTTACCGCGATGCACTTTACCGCGATGCACTTTACCGCGATGCACTTTACTACGATACACTTCACTACGATACACTTCACTACGATGCACTTTACTGCAAAGCACTTTACGCCGAAGCACTTACGGCGATGCACTTTACTGCGAAGCACTTTACTACGATGCACTTTACTACGATGCACTTTACTGCGATGCACTTTACTGCGATGCACTTTACTGCAATGCACTTTACTGCAATGCACTTTACTGCAATGCACTTTACGGCGAAGCACTTTACGGCGAAGCACTTTACTGCGATGCACTTTACGGCGATGCACTTTACGGCGATGCACTTTACTGCGATGCACTTTACTGCGATGCACTTTACTGCGATGCACTTTACTGCGATGCACTTTACTGCGATGCACTTTACTGCGATGCACTTTACTGCGAAGCACTTTACTACGATGCACTTTACTGCGATGCACTTTACTGCGAAGCACTTTACTGCGAAGCACTTTACTGCGAAGCACTTTACTGCGAAGCACTTTACTACGATGCACTTTACTGCGAAGCACTTTACTGCGAAGCACTTTACTACGATGCACTTTACTTGCGAAGCACTTTACTGCGAAGCACTTTACTGCGAAGCACTTTACTGCGAAGCACTTTACTGCGAAGCACTTTACTGCGATGCACTTTACTGCGATGCACTTTACTACAAAGCACTTTACTGCGATGGACTTTGCTGCGATGCACTTTACTGCGATGCACTTTACTACGAAGCACTTTACTACGAAGCACTTTACTACGATGCACTTTACTGCGATGCACTTTACTGCGATGTACTTTACTACAATACACTTTACTACGATGCACTTTACTGCGAAGCACTTTACTGCGATACTGTTCTGTGTTCCTCTGATACTGCTCAACCTACACAATCTGCCCATCTGGTCTACAGACACAGCAACACACAACCTACACAACCTGCCCATCTGGTCTACACACACAGCAACACACAACCTACCCATCTGGTCTACACACACAGCACCACACAACCTACACAACCTGCCCATCTGGTCTACACACACAGCAACACACAACCTGCCCATCTAGTCTACACACACAGCACCACACAACCTACACAACCTGCCCATCTGGTCTACACACACAGCAACACACAACCTACACAACCTGCCCATCTGGTCTACACACACAGCAACACACAACCTACACAACCTGCCCATCTGGTCTACACACACAGCAACACACAACCTACACAACCTGCCCATCTGGTCTACACACACAGCAACACACAACCTGCCCATCTAGTCTACACACAGCACCACACAACCTACACAACCTGCCCATCTGGTCTACACACAGTAGTAGTAGTAGTAATCTTTATTTATATACCGCCTTTTCACTGCACATCAGAGTCTCAAAGCGGTTTACAATTGTTATTTTTGGGAGTGGGGCCAGTACAGGAGGCACATGCCAGACCTATTGTACATATTTTTAGTGGTAGGGGAAACCGGAGCACCCGGAGGAAACCTACGCAGACACGGGGAGAACATGCAAACTCCACTCAGAAAGGCCCTGGTCCAACCGGGATTCGAACCCAGGACCTTCTTGCTGAGAGGCGAGAGTGCTATCCACTCAGCCACCGTGCCGCCCACACAGCAACACACAACCTACACAACCTGCCCATCTGGTCTACACACACAGCAACACACTTTACTACGATGCACTTTACTTGCGAAGCACTTTACGGCGAAGCACTTTACTGCGATGCACTTTACGGCGATGCACTTTACTGCGATGCACTTTACTGCGATGCACTTTACTGCGATGCACTTTACTGCGAAGCACTTTACTGCGAAGCACTTTACTGCGAAGCACTTTACTGCGATGCACTTTACTGCGATGCACTTTACTGCGAAGCACTTTACTGCGAAGCACTTTACTGCGAAGCACTTTACTACGATGCACTTTACTACGATGCACTTTACTGCAATGCACTTTACTGCGAAGCACTTTACTATTTACTGCGATGCACTTTACTACGAAGCACTTTACTGCGAAGCACTTTACTGCGATGCACTTTACTGCGATGCACTTTACTGCGAAGCACTTTACTGCGAAGCACTTTACTACGATGCACTTTACTACGATGCACTTTACTGCGAAGCACTTTACTGCGAAGCACTTTACTGCGAAGCACTTTACTACGATGCACTTTACTGCGAAGCACTTTACTACGATGCACTTTACTACGATGCACTTTACTGCAATGCACTTTACTGCAATGCACTTTACTGCGAAGCACTTTACTATTTACTGCGATGCACTTTACTGTGAAGCACTTTACTGCGAAGCACTTTACTACGATGCACTTTACTGCGATGCACTTTACTGCGAAGCACTTTACTGCGAAGCACTTTACTACGATGCACTTTACTGCGAAGCACTTTACTGCGAAGCACTTTACTGCGAAGCACTTTACTACGATGCACTTTACTTGCGAAGCACTTTACTGCGAAGCACTTTACTGCGAAGCACTTTACTGCGAAGCACTTTACTGCGATGCACTTTACTGCGATGCACTTTACTACAAAGCACTTTACTGCGATGCACTTTACTGCGATGCACTTTACTACGAAGCACTTTACTACGATGCACTTTACTGCGATGCACTTTACTGCGATGTACTTTACTACAATACACTTTACTACGATGCACTTTACTGCGAAGCACTTTACTGCGATACTGTTCTGTGTTCCTCTGATACTGCTCAACCTACACAATCTGCCCATCTGGTCTACACACACAGCAACACACAACCTACACAACCTGCCCATCTGGTCTACACACACAGCAACACACAACCTGCCCAGCTAGTCTACACACACAGCACCACACAACCTACACAACCTGCCCATCTGGTCTACACACAGTAGTAGTAGTAGTAATCTTTATTTATATACCGCCTTTTCACTGCACATCAGGGTCTCAAAGCGGTTTACAATTGTTATTTTTGGGAGTGGGGCCAGTACAGGAGGCACATGCCAGACCTATTGTACATATTTTTAGTGGTAGGGGAAACCGGAGCACCCGGAGGAAACCTACGCAGACACGGGGAGAACATGCAAACTCCACTCAGAAAGGCCCTGGTCCAACCGGGATTCGAACCCAGGACCTTCTTGCTGAGAGGCGAGAGTGCTATCCACTCAGCCACCGTGCCGCCCACACAGCAACACACAACCTACACAACCTGCCCATCTGGTCTACACACACAGCAACACAAACCATTCAGAAACTACTCCAAAGACATGGTGGCTAAATGAGGAAGCGGGAATCTCTCAGTGTGTGTGTGTGTGTGTGTGTCTTTGTGTGTCTGTGTGTGTGTGCGTGTATGTGTGTGTGTGTGTATGTGTATGTGTGTGTGGATGTGTATGTGTGTCTGCATGTGTGTGTGTGTGTCTGTATGTGTCTGTGTGTGTGCGTGTATGTGTGTGTATGTGTGTGTGTGTGTGTGTATGTGTATGTGTGTGTGTGTCTGTGTGTGTGCGTGTGGGTGTCTGTGTGTGTGTATCTGTGTGTGTGTGTGTATGTGTATGTGTATGTGTGTGTATGTTTCTCATACCATCAGTGTGGTCTTGTGGATATTTATGAACTTTGTCCATCGGTTATGGGTCGTTGTGATGTTGTGTAAATGTTGTGCTGTTGTGTTGATGCTGTGTTGTTGTGTGTTGTTGTGGTGCTACTGTGTTGTTGTGTTGCTGTTGAGTTGTTGTGTGTTACCGAACAGTGTATGTCCGTCCTCTCCCAGCAGCACAGTCCGGGGTCGGCCCTGAGAGTCCTGAAGAACCGCTCCCTCTGAGTTCATGAGGAGACCACGCTGTAGGTCCACCAGCTGAAGACACCAGGAATCAGAGACCAGCAAGACCAGGGGGACCAGGAACCATCAAGACAAGGCACCAGCAAGACCAGAGAGAAACCAGCAAGACCAGGGAGCAGCAAGACCAGGGACCAGAGAGACCAGAGACCAGCAAGACCAGGGACCAGCAAGACTAGAGAGAGACCAGAGAGACCAGGGACCAGGGACCAGCAAGACCAGGGACCAGGGACCAGCAAGACCAGAGAAAGACCAGAGACCGGAGAGAGACCAGAGAGAGACCAGAGAGAGACCAGAAAGAGACCAGAGAGAGACCAGAGAGAGAGACCAGAGACCAGAGAGAGAGAGACCAGAGAGAGACCAGAAATAGACCAGAGAGACTAGACAGAGACCAGAGAGACCAGAGAGAGAGACCAGAGAGTGACCAGAGAGACACCACAGTAGTCCTCTGAACTAACCACTGTGGTCACATGGTTTAAGCAGATGGTGCAGCTCTCATGAAGCTGGTTTTAAAGTGTGTTTTAGAGTCAGAGGAAACCAGAGGCCACTACAACCTCTAAAACAGTGTACTGGTCCCTTACCCATCTGGTCCCTTACCCATCTGGTCCCTTACCCATCTGGTCCCTTACCCATCTGGTCCCTTACCCTGCTGGTCCCTTACCCATCTGGTCCCTTACCCATCTGGTCCCTTACCCATCCGGTCCCTTACCCTGCTGGTACCTTACCCTGCTGGTTCCTTACCCATCTGGTTCCATCCGGTCCCTTACCCTGCTGGTACCTTACCCTGCTGGTCCCTTACCCATCTGGTTCCATCTGGTCCTGAGATGAACCTCTGAGCAGAAGATTCATCTAAAGAAGATCTGAGATCTTTATCCTCAGCCGTCGTCAGGTTCGGTTGTCTACTTTTATCTACACAAAACGAAAACACAAGTTTCAACACAATCATCACACAACTTACACAATCACAACACAATCAACACAATCAACGCAATCATCACAATAATCACAATAATCACAATCAACGCAATCAACGCAATCATCACAATCAACACAATCAACACAATCAACACAATCATCGCAATCATCGCAATCAACGCAATCAACGCAATCATCGCAATCAACGCAATCATCGCAATCATCACAATCAACACAATCAACACAATCAACACAATCAACTCAATAATCACAATCAACGCAATCAACGCAATCATCACAATCATCACAATCAACACAATGAACGCAATCAACGCAATCAAGGCAAACAACACAATCATCACAATCAACACAATCATCACAATCAACAAAATAATCACAATCAACGCAATCAACGCAATCATCACAATCAACACAATCATCAGAGTCAACACAATCAACACAATCAACTCAATAATCACAATCAACACAATGAACGCAATCAACGCAATCAAGGCAAACAACACAATCATCACAATCAACACAATCATCACAATCAACAAAATAATCACAATCAACGCAATCATCACAATCAACACAATCATCAGAGTCAACACAATCAACACAATCAACTCAATAATCACAATCAACACAATCATCGCAATCAACACAATCAACGCAATCAACGCAATCAACGCAATCAACGCAATCATCGCAATCATCGCAAACAACGCAATCATCACAATCAACACAATCAACACAATCATCGCAATCAACGCAATCAACGCAATCATCGCAATCAACGCAATCAACGCAATCAACGCAATCAACACAATCATCACAATCAACACAATCAACACAATCATCACAATCAACACAATCATCACAATCAACGCAATCATCACAATCAACGCAATCATTGCAATCATCGCAATCAACGCAATCAACGCAATCATCACAATCATCACAATCAACACAATCATCACAATCAACGCAATCATCAGAGTCAACACAATCAACACAATCAACTCAATAATCACAATCAACACAATCATCGCAATCAACACAATCAACGCAATCAACGCAATCATCGCAATCAACGCAATCATCACAATCATCACAATCATCACAATCAACACAATCATCGCAATCAACGCAATCATCGCAATCAACGCAATCATCGCAATCAACGCAATCAACGCAATCATCACAATCAACACAATCAACACAATCAACACAATCATCACAATCATCACAATCAACACAATCATCACAATCAACACAATCAACACAATCAACACAATCATCACAATCAACACAATAATCGCAATCAACGCAATCAACGCAATCATCGCAATCAACGCAATCATCACAATCATCACAATCAACACAATCAACACAATCATCACAATCATCACAATCAACACAAACACAATCATCACAATCAACACAATCATCGCAATCAACGCAATCATTGCAATCAACGCAATCATCGCAATCAACGCAATCATCGCAATCATCGCAATCATCGCAATCAACGCAATCAACGCAATCATCGCAATCAACACAATAATCGCAATCAACGCAATCAACGCAATCATCGCAATCAACGCAATCATCACAATCATCACAATCAACACAATCAACACAATCATCACAATCAACACAATCAACACAATCATCACAATCAACACAATAATCGCAATCAACGCAATCATCGCAATCAACGCAATCATCGCAATCAACGCAATCATCGCAATCATCGCAATCATCGCAATCAACGCAATCAACGCAATCAACGCAATCATCACAATCATCACAATCAACACAATCATCACAATCAACACAATCAACACAATCAACACAATCAACGCAATCAACGCAATCATCGCAATCATCGCAATCATCGCAATCAACGCAATCAACGCAATCAACGCAATCATCACAATCAACACAATCAACACAATCAACACAATCAAAACAATCATCGCAATCAACGCAATCAACGCAATCAACGCAATCAACGCAATCAACACAATCAACGCAATCATCGCAATCATCGCAATCAACGCAATCAACGCAATCAACGCAATCATCGCAATCAACGCAATCAACGCAATCAACGCAATCATCGCAATCAACGCAATCAACGCAATCAACGCAATCATCGCAATCAACGCAATCATCGCAATCAACGCAATCAACGCAATCATCGCAATCAACGCAATCAACGCAATCAACGCAATCATCGCAATCATCGCAATCAACGCAATCAACGCAATCAACGCAATCATCACAATCAACACAATAATCGCAATCAACGCAATCAACGCAATCAACGCAATCATCGCAATCATCGCAATCATCGCAATCAACGCAATCAACGCAATCAACGCAATCATCACAATCAACACAATAATCGCAATCAACGCAATCAACGCAATCAACGCAATCATCGCAATCATCGCAATCATCGCAATCAACGCAATCAACGCAATCATCACAATCAACACAATCAACACAATCAAAACAATCATCGCAATCAACGCAATCAACGCAATCAACGCAATCATCGCAATCAACGCAATCAACGCAATCAACGCAATCATCGCAATCAACGCAATCAACGCAATCAACGCAATCAACGCAATCATCGCAATCAACGCAATCATCGCAATCAACGCAATCAACGCAATAATCGCAATCAACGCAATCAACGCAATCAACGCAATCATCGCAATCATCGCAATCAACGCAATCAACGCAATCAACGCAATCATCGCAATCAACGCAATCATCGCAATCATCGCAATCAACGCAATCAACGCAATCATCGCAATCATCGCAATCATCGCAATCATCGCAATCAACGAAATCAACGCAATCATCGCAAATAACGCAATCAACGCAATCAACACAATCAACACAATCAAAACAATCAAAACAATCATCGCAATCATCGCAATCAACGCAATCAACGCAATCAACACAATCAACACAATCAAAACAATCATCGCAATCAAATCAATCATCGCAATCATCGCAATCAACGCAATCAACGCAATCATCGCAATCAACGCAATCAACGCAATCAACGCAATCAACGCAATCAACGCAATCATCGCAATCAACGCAATCATCGCAATCAACGCAATCAACGCAATCATCGCAATCAACGCAATCAACGCAATCAACGCAATCATCGCAATCATCGCAATCAACGCAATCAACGCAATCAACGCAATCATCGCAATCAACGCAATCATCGCAATCAACGCAATCAACGCAATCAACGCAATCAACGCAATCATCGCAATCAACGCAATCATCGCAATCAACGCAATCAACGCAATCATCGCAATCAACGCAATCAACGCAATCAACGCAATCATCGCAATCATCGCAATCAACGCAATCAACGCAATCAACGCAATCATCGCAATCAACGCAATCATCGCAATCATCGCAATCATCGCAATCAACGCAATCAACGCAATCATCGCAATCATCGCAATCATCGCAATCAACGCAATCAACGCAATCAACGCAATCAACGCAATCAACACAATCAAAACAATCCAAACAATCATCGCAATCATCGCAATCAACGCAATCAACGCAATCAACACAATCAACACAATCAAAACAATCATCGCAATCATCGCAATCAACGCAATCATCGCAATCAACGCAATCAACGCAATCAACGCAATCAACGCAATCAACGCAATCATCGCAATCAACGCAATCAACGCAATCAACGCAATCAACGCAATCAACACAATCAACACAATCAAAACAATCATCGCAATCATCGCAATCAACGCAATCAACGCAATCAACACAATCAACGCAATCAACGCAATCAACGCAATCAACGCAATCATCGCAATCATCGCAATCAACGCAATCAACGCAATCAACGCAATCATCGCAATCAACGCAATCATCGCAATCAACGCAATCAACGCAATCAACGCAATCAACGCAATCATCGCAATCAACGCAATCATCGCAATCAACGCAATCATCACAATCATCACAATCAACACAATCAACACAATCAACACAATCAACAC